ATCCTAATAAATCACATGGGATCATCAGCGTTAATCACATGTGGCGAAACCTAGGTATATAGTACCTGGTTCATGAGGATTTATTTATTATATATATATATATATATATATATATATATATATAGAAAGAAAGAAAGAACAGTAAGATATATAATCCGGTATTCTTATTGATATATTTTTTTATATTTACAAAACAGTGCTCAATGTAAATTTACAGAGCATAAATATTATAAATTAACTGATTTAAAATATGGTTTATTTTATTCATAGGATTACCATGAAAACCTGAAGTTAAAAAATTCAAATTTGATTATATAATAAAATAATTGATAATATAATTAAACTTGAGGTATTTAGTTTCAGTTTTTGAAACATGGTTGTTACTGTGTACCGAAAAATATTTTAAATCAGTTAATTTATAATATATATATATATATATATATATATATATATATATATATATTTCAAATATTTTTGCTTTAGACATCGCAAGATCTTTTTAGTTTGTCCGATATTTATATCCAATATCACCATTTTTGATAATCCGTGTCGTGGTTCCGGCACTTTTGTTTAGTAAGATGCTTACTCAAAGAGGTAAATTTCGATTTATTGATTTCATTGACATCGGAAGAGCGAGGAATAATTTGATTAATCATTTTATTAGTGTATCTTCATATCTGTTAATGTCTTTGTGTTCTCTAACGTGGCGACACTAATTGTATTTTGGCTGGTACAGTTCGACTTCTCGACCAATAATCGAATTTGTACGAATAATCAAATAAAAGATTATAATCTCCAAAACGTATATTTCCAAAAGATATTAGAAAAAAATGGTGGAAAATAATAACTCAACATTTTTTTGTAAAATAAACACTTTTTAAATATTCAAACAGAATTTTCTTGAATTGTCTCTTTAAATGTGTTTGTATACCTATTCAGAAAACAAACTTTAAGATGTACATATAAGATTAATATGTACGCATTAAACGTATTAAGAGAGCTCAAAAAATGATTCCTACTAATCTAGTATATTATGTACGGATAGTGTAATGTATCTAGTTGATAAGGAAAACTGGGTCTACTTGGAAAGGATAATTCAGAACATATGCAAACCATCTACATACGGATAAAAATGATTTGAATAGACAAAAAAAAAGACGTAAGCCAAGGATATGTTTCCCCACCGGATTTATTCAACATCTACAGCGAGACTGTCCTATGGGAGGTGGGTCCCTGTCAGGATATATTGTTGGTAGGCAGTAAAGGCAGTAGGTAAGGTAGTAAAAGAAAGCAAGAATTAAAAAAAAACTAACCGTTACCTGTAAGAAGGCAGAATACATTGATGACAGCAAGAGAAAAAGCCCAAGAGGTGTACTGCTATTTGGAGATATCAAAGTATGGATATTTTGATATCTGGCAAGCATTTTAACAGATGATGGAATATGAGACAAAAATTTTAAAAAAATGTTAAAGAACAGGAGAATTTCTTTAGAAAGAAAGTCCTGAACTGATATGCAATATCAATTATCCTATATTATAGTGAATGCTGGAAAATTCCTCACAGTTGAAGATGGGTCATGAGACAACAGAGAGGTTTTTCTACAACAGGATAATGAGAATAGCATATATGGAACATTAATCAGCTACAAAGAAAAGAGAGCTGAACTATTATGCAATATCAGTCCTCCTCTGAGGCAGTGAATACTGGACAATTTGCCCACAGAGGAAACGGAGACTTGAGCAAACACAGATGTGCTTCTGCAGGAGGATACTGGGAATAGCATTGACTGACCGCGTTAGCAACGACAAAGTGTTATGAAAAATGAAACCAAAATGGACATTAGAACCTGAAATGGACATTGGTTTTTACGCATAATGAGGAAGGTGAGTTTGGAGAATTTGAAACTCACAGGACATACTGGAAAAAGAGTGTCAGAGGGAATCAGCGCATATTCTAAATAACGAAGTTGTGTAAATGCATGTCAGAACAGGGAATGGGTGTGGTAGTAAGAAGTTAAACATTGCTTAGAGCCACAAATGATAGGATGTGGTGGAGAGCTATGATCACTCACGTCCTTAAAGTAAATGACACATCAAAGAAGTATAACAGATATCGCCCTGGAAAATGGAGTCTTCAAGCCAAGTTTAAATTGAGTTGTGGACCTCTTTTTTATAAATCCAAACAGTGAAAATCGTCCTGGGTAAGACTTTAAACTACATCTGCGTCCTGGGTAAGACGTTAAACTGCGCCCAGCAGCAAGGCCTCTGATCAGGACGTTTTGAGGAACGTGGAACAACCTTAATTGCTGGTCCTCTCAGGTCCACCCTGACCAGGGTGGTAGCACTTGTTAGTTTACTATTACCAGCAATACAATTTTGAATGAAACATTACCAGAAACAGATTTATGACTAAACAAAATATTACCAGCGATAAAAATTTTGTCGGCATTAAATAACCCATTGAGGTTGATATGCCGTAAAACAAAATAAACCAAACCAATCTAAAGAATACATATTCTATGCATACGAATCTATCCTAATAATGTTGTCAGCATTAAATAATCCATTGAGGTTGATATGCTGTAAAACAAAATAAACCAAACCAATCTAAAGCAAACAGTGAAAAACATTTAAAGACTATGTCAATTTTCGCATTAATTTCTTTATTAGCTTAATAAATTTTTTATTAAAAATTATATTATTCAAGTATGACGATCCTTATTGTTATTTTTTTGGAAACAGTGTTCAAGATAAGTTTGATTTATTTGGGAAAGATTGTTTTTGGTTCTCACCAGTCGGGATGCAGTCGCATCGAAACAAGAATGCACATCTGTAGTGAGTAAGTTGTTTTTGTGGGTATCTAAAAATAAAATAAATATTGTCCTAATCATGGCATTTAACCCTATTTTGAATTAATGTTGTAAGCGTTCGAATTCATATTATTTTTGTTCTCATTACATTCTGATATATATATATATATATATATATATATATATATATATATATATATATATAAAATAAAAAGAAAGAACAGTAAGACTTTTAAAATTTACTGGTTTTAAATACACAGCTAAAATCACGTTTCCATGGTTACAGAATATTCTACTCAAATTGAACACGGGGTGTCTAGATTTTCCTTATGACAGTATCATTGTATCAGTTATTAGCTACATTTTGGTAAGGGTGAGGATGTATTTTACTCTGAAAACCTGACGTCGGTTGAATGGATGTCGTCTGAATTTAAAAAAAAAAAAAAAAAAAAAAAAATTGTTAACGGTAAAAATTTTCAACGTCAAATTTTCAATGATTTTAGCTGTATTTAAAACCCGGTAAATTTTAAAAGTTACTCCAAAATTCGCTTGAAGATGAAATGGAACTAATGCTTTTAATTTATTTGCAAAAATAAAATTAGGGTTTTAGCTTCTATTTTTTGAAACATGGTTGGAACTGTGTAGCGAAAATAACCATATTTTAAATCAATTAATTTATAATAATATATATATATATATATATATATATATATATATATATATATATATAACGAGAGAGAGGAGGATACAAAACGAAAGAGAGAGAAAATGTAGAAAGAGAGACATGCAACATATATATATGGCCTGAAGTTTGCGTTTAAACTTGAAACATAATGTCACTGCTTGTTGTTCACCTCAATGTCCACTTTCATATATATATATATATATATATATATATATATATATATATATATATATGTATGCATGTACGTATGTATATGCAGAGAAACCTCTCATTTTCGCCTGTTCGAGGAGCTCAACATTGGTGACGTAGTCACTCCAGTTAATCTTGAGGATGATACGGAGACAGCGCTGAAGGAGCGCTGAAGGAGCGCTGAAGGAGTCGTATATACATACATACATACATACATATATATATATATATATATATATATATATATATATATATATATATACAGAGAGAGAGGAATAGAAAGAGTGAGAGAGATTCAGCAAACCAACAAAATATAGTAATGATAAAATCAGCCCAATGTATGACAAGAGACTAAAGAAATTAAAAAAATAAATAAATAAGCGAGAAATAAACTGATAAAAATGTGAAAAGGAAACATAAACTGAGAAACAATGATTAAGAGAGACACCTGCCTAAGCAATAATATAAAGTGCTCTATGTCTAAATGAACAAGACAGGACAATTACTCTACCTAGCATCATGTGGCCTTGTTGGGACCAGTAATAAAAACACAAACAGAGGAATTGACTTAAACAACTATATTAAATGTATGTCAGAGCTGGCTGATGGAAACTTACCTCTCAAAAGGCAGTACCTGTTCCTATTTATAGCTGGGAGAGTCAATGCACGCGTGGGTAAATTACCAGAAATCCTCTCGTAAGTATTATCTCCGCAGATTTTTTCTTTGGGTTAACGACAATAAGAAAGTTCGGTCCAACTGTCAGCGCTGAGAGCTGGAAACTCACCAAAAGGCAGTACCTGCTCCTATTCATAACTGGGAGAGTCCATGTGTGCGTGGGTAAATTGCCATAACACAGCAAAAGACAAAAAAGTTACAACGTTCAAACAGTTCAAAGATAATGAACGCACCATAATATATTCATTTTTTTTACGGGAGCGTGATGGCGAGGCATCATTCGTCTCGGAATATGATTCCTCTTCACGTGGTAGATATTTACTCTTTCAAATTTCTGACAGAGCGAATAGAATCTATTAAGAACTTTTATTTCTGTAGATTTTATGAATATATATTTTTTCACTAGTCGCTTACATATAGCTTCATTGCCCACATTTCCACATGCATATTCAATAACGAGATATTCTAAATACCGTCATGAGAGCTTTAAGGCCATATCACGTTTAAACCCCGATTACTGTAGGATCATTCTAGTCGAGTCTGGTCAATATCAAAAACCGCTTGGGTATACCAAGTGCTTTAAGCTTGGATGTTTTTAGCGGTGTAATGGATAATGACTCGGAATTGTTAATCAGAGAGTCGAGTTCCCATACGATCACCTAAGTTAAGCAACGTCGAGCCTGGTCAGTACCTAGATGGGAAACCACTTGGGAATACCAGGTGCTGTAGACTTGGATGTGCGGGTGGTGTAATGGATAATGGCTCGGAATTGTTAATCAGAGTGTCAAGTTCCCGTAAAATCACCGAAGTTAAGCAACATCGTGCCTGGTGTGTACCTAGTTGGGTAACCCCTTGGGAATGCAAAGTACTGTAAGCTTGGATGTGCGGGTGGTGTAATGGATAATGGCTCGGAATTGTTAATCAGAGAGTCGAGTTCACATACGAACACCAAAGTTAAGCAACATTGAGCCTGGTCAGTACCTAGTTGGGCAACCGTTTGGGAATACCAGGTGCTGTAGCTTGGATGTGCAGGTGGTGTGATGGATAATGGCTCGGAATTATTAATCGGAGAAACGAGTTCCAGTTCCAGTTGGGTTCGTTATATTCACTTGGAAAAGGTATAAATTCGCTTCACCTTCCTCAGTTATGGGTTAATTAGCAAGATATGTGTCACGAAATCACTATCTTCACCCACAAACATTCTTACAATCTAAAATGTTTTCTGACATTAAACCTGTTATGGTTTGATAACCCGTAGAAAACGTATCAATCAACAAGAATAACAATAAAATGTCATTAGCCTATTTTTAGGGAAGCAAACATTTAGCGCCTCTTTGGTCTAAGCGTACGACCCACTTCTCAAAGGCAAGGAGTCCTTTGTTGGAACCCCGAGAGATATCTTCAATTCTAACACCAAATTAATATTTGCAATGATTAGTTCACTGTTTATATATTATGAATAGGTTTCCCGAGGCCACTGATATATTGTAGTATTATTCAATCATCAACCAATCCCTGAAGTTTGGAGATTATTGAAATAACATAGAATATTTTTCTTCCTGCTGGAATGGAATCTGCTTCACTTGAAACCTATTCCCAAAGAGATTCTTCGTCAATTCAGATCGACTTGCAACATCAAAAAGAAAATCGTTTTCATTTCTTTGAACAGATAAGGAAGACATTTGTGCCGCCATTGGGTTTACATCAATAACTTTTTTACTTTGACTTTAGATGTGCACACTAATTTTATTCTGCCCTTAACTGTTTAACACCTAAATGCGACATATTAATGATTAAGGCGAATCCGCGCTGAGCAGTTGACATATTATAATATCACCTTATATTATCAGCATAGGTTGCATCGCAATTGGCAGTCATATCGTCTCGAATGTCGATGAGGAAATGAAGCAAAAAAGAACGTATAAAGCTTTCGAATAAGTTAACAATTCTTTCAATTGGCGCCGAAAGAAGTTCATACCAGAGTGTACCGAAACGTCAATGTTCACTGATTCAATATTGTCTCGTGAAAAAGAGTTGCGATTCGACCCACCCTTAATGATTAAAAATGGTTTTGAGCGATTGAAGCCAGTTGATTTGGGCGACGACCATACTTCATCGAACATTGTGACCTGGCGCTACATGATCGCAAACAAAGAATTGTACCAGATAACATAACCCACAACACTTGATAACTTTCAACAACAAAAACTAAAATGGATAACACGTGTAACTCCGAGATACAATAATGACATAATAAAGATGTTTCACACTTCTTCAAATAAAAGATTAGGACGGAAACCTCAATCAATACTGAAAAGAGCGATAACAGCTACCGGACTCGAGAAACCTATTTTTTTTTTTTTAAATTGTGTTAAGTGAAAGGTTTTTTAAATTTCAACGAACACCAGCAACGGCTGATTCATGAATGAATAGCGATTTTTTCCACATAAAGAAACGGATAAAATCTTTACAGCAGCGAATGTTGGACGGCCTCCTAATAGATGAAGAAGTGACTCGAAGCAACGCAGGTATGGTTCTACAAAAGGATGATAAGGATATCATGGGCCAAGCCTGAGAGCAACGATGAGATTTTGAAAAGGATGCAAACAAGGAGGAAGCTTGTACTTAACATAAGGAAGAGGCAGCTGAACGTAATGAGAAAGAAGGGCTTGGAGAATCTGATACTCACAGGTCGAATAGAGGGAAAGGGAGACAAGGGAAAGCAATGCATAGAGGGCCTAAGCAAGTAGATGACAGAACATGGGCTGGGGGAAGTAGCAAAGGGACAAAACTTATTGAGAGCTACAATGGATAGGGAAAAGTGGAGAGCCATGGTCGCCTACGCCCTGAAGGAACACAGCGTATAAAAAGAAAGAAGTGCTTGGAAGACATCTTTTGTTATTCTAATGATTCAGATGTCGGTGTATCTGAAAAGCGTTTAAGCGGAGAATGGAATATGTCACCGAATGGAATATAAAAAGATGCCTTTTATTGTTCAACTAAGTATTAAGAAAAAATAGAAAAACGTTGTTAGGAACAAAGAAACAGTTGTGAAGAGCTATTTAATATCAACCCTTCTATATGGCATTTAATCTCACACAGTTTTCTCAAGGTTCACGCAAAGGTTGATTTTAATCCGCGGCTAAGAATTCTTTCACTCATTTTTTCGCCAACAGTATAACATGAACACGTATATCTCCACTGTTCGGAAATGAATGACGCATCTGATCTGTATTTCAAGAAAACCGAAAGTTGGAACCTGTGTGGAGGTTAATGTGCAGCAATATTTGCATTATTTATTACCGTAATGATAAGTTACATTTTTACGAGAATTTAATTGCTTCTGTTCCTTATTTATGAGATTCCAGGAAATGAAAAGTTCTCACATTATTTCATCTATTTCCGGGTGAAGTTGCAAAACGCTCAAACAGATTCAAAACCCCATTGCTATCTGTTTTTAGCATCCTTCTCGCTATGTTTTAATATTTTTATTTATTATAAATTTTGACTCAAATAATTTAAAAGGAGTCTTGTTTTGTGGCTATGTATATTTTTGCTATACTTGATCGACATACTTATTTCTTCAAAGCCATTATAAAGTAAAAAAAATCAATTTTTGCATCCAGGATATCTGGACCATTCGTTTTTATTTAAAAGCACTGAACATTTATGTAATATCGGTACTCCTGTACGGCATTCAAATCTTATCACTTACTGAGGTAACAGAAACGTAACATTACAGAAGCATGCTGAGAATATCGAGGATTGGACATACGAGCAAAGATTCATTTATAGAGAAAACAAAAACTAAAGCAACGCTTACACATAACATCAGAAAGGAATTGTTGAACTTTCTGAGAAAAGAGTGCTTGGAAAATTCGATACTCACAGTCTTAATTAAATTTAAATACCAAACTTGTAATTTTCTATTATGAAAATTATGTTAAATGAACCCTTTTTTTAAATGGCCTTGCAGTTACTAAGTTTACTGTTGTGTCGGAAACCTACCACCCCCCTTGAAGATGAACTTGTCTGCGAACAAAGACTTTAAATAGTGGCATGTCAAAAGTTAGTTCTTAGAAGTTAAATAGTGGCATGTCAGAGAAGTTCTTAGCTGACTTCCGACGTCTGTCGAACTCTCTGCTTTAGCAGAGGGAACCTGACGAAGCTTTGCCGAAGGGCAAGGTTTCGTCCGGGAGGTAGATAGGCCTGAAACCGTCTAGGCGGGTTCAAGGGCTATTTTTTGGCCGAGCCTACGGGCTTGGATCAACCCACATTAAACTCGGCCTTGTGCCACATTCAATCCTCGGGGGATCGATAAATACCAGAGAAGTCCTTAGCTGACTTCCGATGTCTGTCGAACTCTCTGCGTTAGTTAGAGGAACCCGGACGGGCTTTGCCGAAGGGCAAGGTTTCGTCCGGGAGGTAGATAGGCCTGAACCCGTTTAATCGGCTTCAAAAGGCTATTTTTTGGCCGAGCCTACGGGCTCGGGGAAACCCACAATAAAACCGGCCTTGTGCCATATTCGTTTCCGTGGGTGAAATGATAAATACCCAGAGAAGTCCTTAGCTGACTTCTGACGTTCGTCGAACTCTCTGCGTTAGCAGAGGAACCCGGACGAAGCTTTGCCGAAGGGCAAGGTTTCGTCCGGGGAGGTAGACAGCGCCTGAACCCGTTTAATCGGCTACAAAAGGCTATTTTTTTGGCCGAGCCTACGGGCTCGGGGAAACCCACAATAAAACCGGCCTTGTGCCATATTCGTTTCCCGTAGGTGAAATGATAAATACCCAGAGAAGTTCTTAGCTGACTTCCGACATTCGTCAAACTCTCTGCGTTAGCAGAGAGGAACCCGGACGAAGCTTTGCCGAAAGGCAAGGTTTCGTCCGGGGAGGTTGACAGGCCTTGAACCCGTCTAGGTGGGTTCAAGCGCTATATTTTTGGCTGAGCCTACGGGCTCGGATCAACCCACAATAAACTCGGCCTTGTGCCACATTCAATCATCGTGGGGGGATCGATAAATACTCAGAGAAGTCCTTAGCTGACTTCCAACATCTGTCGAACTCTCTGCTTCGGCAAAGAGGAACCTGGACGAGGCTTTGCCGAAGGGCAAGGTGTCGTCCGGGAAGGTAGACAGCGCCTGAACCCATCTAATCGGCTTCAAAAGGCTATTTTTTTGGCCGAGCCTGCGGGCTCGGGGAAACCCACAATAAAACCGGCCTTGTGCCATATTCGTTTCCCGTGGGTGAAATGATAAATACTCAGAGAAGTTCTTAGCTGACTTCCAACGTCTGTCGAACTCTCTGCGTTAGCAGAGAGGAACCCGGACGAAGCTTTGCCGAAGGGCAAGGTTTCGTCCGGGGAGGTTGACAGGCCTTGAACCCGTCTAGGTGGGTTCAAGGGCTATATTTTTGGCCGAGCCTACGGGCTCGGATCAACCCACAATAAACTCGGCCTTGTGCCACATTCAATCCTCGTGTGGGGGGGATCGATAAATACTCAGAGAATTTCTTAGCTGAGCTAGTTATTGACTACTCAGGCGATTTCTGTACCTTTTTACCAACCTATTAAAACCCTTTTTATTGTTACGTGTTATTTGGCGTTTGTCTCTACTAACCCCAAATCAACACCATAAAATTTACCATTTTAACTCGTAATTACTTTCACCATAATAAATCCGAGATACCTCTGAAGCTTTTCCGAGCAACATCATTTTTTTCTATCGTAAATT